AGATTCGCTTTATAGTCGTGTAATATAAATCCCAAAAAGGATTGTGTGCATTTCAGCTTGTTTTTGGTTTGTTTTATGCTATCTACGTTTGAATGCACCCGCATGCTGCTACAACGACCAATGGTGTGAACGGTTTTATCAGAGGACGCCTCAATGTCAATGATTTCTTTGCACTTTTCATGTTTCACATAGTTGACATATACATAAACACACACACACACATAAAGAGGGTAAGTGGGAGAGACAGAGAGGGAACCGCATAAGATACGACGCATTCAGCAGGGTGTGCATCAAATGGTGGTCAAATCATATTTCAATCACAATAAACAAGTCATTTTTATTATTATCACGAACGACAATGAAGCCGGCCTGAAATAATTAATTTTCCGTTCATTGTTCTATTGTCTTCCATTTGGCTTTCAGTTTCTTTTCAAAATGGTATATATACAAAAAAAAAATGTGATGGAACACCCACTGTATTACACTGTACACTGTATAGAATGGAAAATCGTCTCTGTGTATACTTCGCCGTTATTCAATGCACGATAATCTACACGGCAACTGCCACATAAAAGGAAATGTACATCTCTTTTCATTTACTTAAAATCCATCAAAATTTGCTGGAAAAATCGTCGATGGAATGTGTGCACGGTCTATAGTCTATATGTCGTATGCGAATAGCAGTTTTCGTAGTTCCGAGTATAAAATGTTCATTGTATGTTGTCATTTGAAATCAATCAAAATATAGCCGTGTGTCAATCTTCATATCACAACCCAATAAGATACCAACAATGAACTGTTCACTTGAGCGAAGTTCTTTCCCTTCTTTAAAAAAATAAAAATAAAATAAAAGTTGATAGGCTTTGCACATCAACTTTCAACTCAATAGGTGTATGTGTGTGTGTGACGTTATGACATTCCGTATTATACCCGTGTGTATGTATAGTATATTGTCAATCAAATGCAAAAGTCAACACGAATGGAAAATGCGTTATCGTTGTGAAACACTCGCTCATCAGATGAGAATACTCTCACTTCATGTATTGTGCACACCAATGCTCACCATGCAAACAATGGATCTGCTGAACCGAACCAAACCCATTACAAAGTATTGTGCATGCGTTTCTGTGTTGTGCACTCACACACACATACACACTCACTTGCTCGAATCTTTTATTTAGTAAATTTTGTATGAAATTAAGCCGCAAGAGACGACGATAACGACGATGGTGGCCGTCACTATGTTAAAATTTTTGTACCAGTTCATTTTCTATACCACAATGTCGGCATCAATGAAACGATTGAATATATTTTAGTTGTCTATTTTCTTTTTCTCACAGACTCACTCGCACAGCTTGAGTGCGAAACAAGAGAAGAAAAAAAGAGCATGTTTATTTGTGCCTTTGCATAGAATGTCGCTCCCCAATTCAATGCCTCTCTCAATTTACTTGATCGAATTCGAATTAATTCTATTGGAACGGCACGATAATCAACTTATTGTCAATAAATTTAATTAATGAACATTGTGCTCATGCCACAACACTGTAAGCAGCTCTTTAATCAATTTCCGAAAGAACATAATTGCAACTCTACTATATACCATGCCATTGCCATTGCCATTGTTGACAATTTTATGAAGCAAACTCAACGCAAGCATACACCATGTACAAAACGCATACAATCACTTCCAAACGTCTATATAAACATAACATCGATTCGGGACGAAAATATTAAGGTTTCAAACAAAAACCAACTCATTTTCAATCACAAATTACATTTAAAAAAAAAACTAAAATAAATAAGAATTCGGTGGAAAATTTGTGTCGTCTCTCGTCTCTCGGTAATTAAATATTGACATAAAGGAAGTATGAAATGTTGACATAATTTCCATATGAAATGACTAAAAGGGGATCTGTTTTAAGCTCATCGACCATTTAAGTTCAATTTCTAGAGTCAATTACATTTTTCGGCTCTTTTGCCTACTACTAGACACTTATTATCGGTTTTCAGCTCTATGATTGGGTAAAAAGTTGATGATATGGATGGCCGTGATTTTGATGGTTTTCTTTTAAAGAAAAGCTAATTGACATTTTACGCCGCATACGAATAAGAAGGAGAAGAACGATTTTTTTTTAATGTAAAACATATTCGCGTAAAGAATGCAGTGGTCCCTCAAAAAGTTGAAACCCACAAAAAATAGAATCATGCAGAAATTTGATTCGACTCACCAAATATCTTTAAAATGTGATTCATTGGTTACATTTAAATAAACTTAAAAAAGGGAAAATGCACTAGAAAACTATGAAGGAAAAATGCTTATAATTTAAAATGTCAGTCCCCGCGATTTCGATTTGATCGTTTTACAAAACGATTCAAATTTCCGTAGAACCACTGTAGTCTGATTTCTACATGATAACATCTTGATTCATTTTTTTGCAGATCATAAAATCGTTACTGATGATTGAGTGAGTGTTACACACTTGGCTTTGTGTTAATGTGCTGTTCACATTGATGTGAGCTGTTTAGTAAAACAAAGGAGCGTCGTTTGACAAGCTAACTAAGCTTTCACCGTTCACGGTGTGATTTCATGCTCTGAGTTTTTGTTTGTATATGTCAGTTGATTCGTTTATGAAAGAAAGCCGGTGTGTTGTAAATATTCCATGAAATAAACCAAAGGGCTACATTTTACACCAATAAATCGAGAGCTTTTTTCATATTTTTCACACCAGACGGAAAAACACATTTTTACTGAATATTTAATTATCATACTTGGCAGCTGACTGACTCAGTTTTTTTTTGCACGCACGTGTTGGTGTCATTCGGTGAATGAGAAGAAGAAGAAGAAGAAGAAGAAGAAGAAGAAGAAGAAAAACAAATTTCCGTGAAAAAAATATGTTGAAAGTGCCATGAATGGATTTTAAATAAGAGAAAAAAAGCGTAAAATCATATGTCAGTAAATATGTTGATTTGAATCATCGTCTTTTGAATTTTGAAATGGAAATGAAAATACGACTGGCAAAACGATGAATTTTAGAGGGATTTGAGTATGAATAATAGATCTCTCCGAGCTGACAATCAGTTGTTTGAAGATTTGGTGGGATTTTTGTAACATTTTTTTTATTGTTGCACAATCACGACAATCCAATTGAGCTACTTTTGAGCTTTTCATATATCGTTCATTGGCTGTCGAAATGGCAGTGTGATTTCATGCGAATGGCAAAAAAAAATATTTCGATATTATTTGAAACATTCAACAAAATGTACAACTTTTAAAAAAATGAGCGAAATAAAGCTAGAGAAACAGGAAACATAGTCAAAAAAAATGTTGAGTATTTCACGCATAACAACACATCCTGAGACTAAATATGAAAACTCTTGGTTGCGTAAAGAAAATAAAACGGAAACGAAGTAGAGAATGAGTGCCTTGTTACATGGCCGTTTCTTCCAAGATATTTCGTTCTTAAATGTAGTAAATAATGCATTAAAAAGGCAGAAATAAAAGCGGAATACAAATGGCTTCAGCTCTCAGCATCTGCAAGGCGAACGGTGAAGTTGGATAATACGTGACACTGTCTGACTTTGTATGTTGGGAAGAAAATCGCATATAATATGGAGAGTGTTGTTGCAGCAGCGAAAGAACAAAAAACAACAAGAACATTGGCATCTTCGTTGCTGCTC